ACACACACACACACACACACACACACACACACACACACACACACACACATACATACTTCCGGACATTTTTTACTAATACGATTTTTCGACATTTTAGAACATTCTAAACCTATTTCAATCAAAATCTCGAAAAATTTTTTTTTTACCATCACAAAGCTTCTTCTATGAGGAAGCGATAATATTAATAATACGGAATTAAGGAGTTTGGATTACCGATTAAAATCAAAGTAAGAAAAGAAAAGAGAAGAAAAGAGAGGGGGGCCTCTGCATTTGTCTACGAGATAAATTCTAGGGCCAAATTATAAACCAGAGTAACAAGAATAAGAGCAATTCCAAGATCTCAAGACGAGATTAACCTTGCAGAGCTCCTTGTACTACTACGAACAATGTCGATCTTCCAATATGGCGTCCCAAATGAGAATATCGGAAGGGCCCTGCTCGCTGGATCGGACTCCTCGCCTCAATTCTCCTTCTCGGGCGCGAGCTGCCGCAGCTCTCCTTTTCCTGGCGGTGAGCTCTCCTTGGGAAGTCGAATCTCGCTCGGTTGGTCTCCAGAATATGTGCCGCTTAGCTCAATCAGTTACGAAAGAAGGAAAACGTACTCGTCTCGTCCGAAGAAACGCAGCAAGAGCGGCCATGACACTGAACTGACTGAATAGTCCAAGATCCCAGGGCTCCCAGACGTAACTTATTTTGTGAAAGACAAAATGTGGGACATTGAGTAGTGTTCATATGAACTTTGAATACCTGCGTATCTGCAAAGGTGGTTAGACGGCCGATTTACAGGTACCAGGTGAGTCACAACTTCAGTATTCAGTTTAACGTCTACTTTGGTACTCTGAAGCCTCCGAGTTGAAATTTTGGTTCTACTTTCGACCTCAGATTCAACTTAACGTCTACTTTAGTACTCTGAAGCCTATAACAACCTCTATTAATTCAATTTAACCTACAGCTCTACTTAAAACCTATAAATTTTATTTTGATGGATTGGTACTCATCCTACTGTGATACTTATAAATTCTTCTTAATCTTTTGTAATACAAATTAAATATAGTTAATCAAAACTCTTCTTTTTTAAATCATTTTTGAATTTTTTTACAATAAAATAAAATAAATATAGAAATTTAAATGTATTAAAATATATAATATTTATAAGGAAGACAAGCAAAACATATTAGTTTTTATAAAACAGAAATATTTTATTATATAAAATTGAAGACATAATTATTATTACAATTTAAGAATTGCAGGGAGAATTTCTGATCGTTAAGTTAACATCATTATTCAAGCTCTTGTTGGTTGACAGGAATACCCACATACATTTGGTTATTAATATTCATAAGAACACAAAGCCTATCTGTATTAATCAATAAGTATCAATAAGGAATAACGCTAGCGTGGATGGTTAGTAATTAAAAAGTCCTAGGTTCGATTCCTCGTTTAAAAGTGTTTTCCATTAAATTGACGATTAAGAGGAAATATATCCTCGCTCAAAAGGAAGGTCTCCTTGATTAAAGGGAAGTTTAAGGATTAAAGATCCGCAAAGATTAATAATCCGTTTGATAGAAAAGAATAAGAGTAGTATGAATATTCTTTGAAACTGTTATTCTCTATTCAATATTTTTTCCTTTCCATTAATTTAAAAAAATTATTTTGAATAATAAAAATATATTTTTCTTTATTATGAATTATAAATATATAATGCTTTGATGCAAGTATAAATTTTTGTTTAACGGTTTATAATCGCATTTTAAGATTTATATAAAAAATAAAGACATTTTTTAAATAAAAATGTTTTTTTTCTGTGCAGAAGGCACCTAAATTTCCCTTACCTCAGGAATAACTCTAAAAAAAATTAATAAGAATCTCGTCAAAGATATTTTACATACACGCTACATTATTTTCTTACTCACAATTCTGTGAGTTGTATGCTACAATTAAAAAATATTGTATAATTTCATATAATATTGTGTATCAATCAATATTATAAAATTTGTTTTACAATATTTATTGTTATTAACAGATTTTTACCGTTTATAAGAAAAAGTATTATTACATAAATTTTATAATATTATTAACTGATATATATAATTAATATTATATAATAATTTAAATATTACAAATTATTAACCGTTGAGTGGCATACTTTACACTGATATCAGTGACTATTCACTAATTCAGATTTAGAGAGTCAGGGTTAAAAGATCGTCACTGTCCACTGGATCATCGAAGTCAAGCGACACGGGCGCGGTACTGTACTAGGATGGGTGACCGCCTTAAGAGAGCGGGCTATATACACACACAGTTAAGAAACAGTTAAAAATGAATTTTCTAACATCTGTAGATGCTATAGGATCAATGTTTAATTTACACGGGGATCAATAGGTTTAATTTACACGGAAATAGCAGAAAACGCACAAAATGCCGCTTGTAGGTTTTAAAGAAAACTACAGTAAAGCCTCGTGAAAACCTTTGGGCCCTCTGGATCTGATCATCCAAAGGACCTGGAGGCTTTTACGAGGCTTTACTGTGAAGTCCTTTTTAGAACCTACAAGCGGCATTTTGTGCGTTTTCAGCCACCTTAGAGACGCTAAGTAGGACTAAAGTTTCCGTGTAAATTAAACCTACGTTGATCCTCTAGCATCTACAGATATTAGAAAATTCAGGTCGAAAATAGGTCTAAAATTTTAACTCGGGATTTTTCCGTTATATTAATTTCGCGAGCAACATGCGTTTCTTCCTTCACACTCGAAAGTTTTACTTCATAAAGTCCGTTTTCCTTTTTTTCGCCTCGCAAGATATTTACATTGTCCTTCTCCACGACAACTTTATCTTCGGTAAAAATTACTTTTCCTCCATTTTTGGTGATTGCGCTCACCGAAAGCAAATTTGCACTCAAGTCGGAAATGTACATCACGTCCTTCAAAGTACAGATCTCCAGGTCCACTGTACCGATTCCTTCCGACGTCATCGTCTCATTCGCCTTGGCTACTCTAATCGTTGATTTTATTTTCTGAAGGTCTGTTATGAATTTCTTGTCGTTCACCATATGGGACGCGTCGTACCCGAGTCCATAATCCACCTCACGTCGCACCGGTTGTGCGCCAAAAACGACACTTTTTTAGCTTCAGCATCCGTTTTCTTTTTTTCCTTATTGCGAAAATAACAGTCCTTTTCTTAATGATTATTCTTCTTGCAGATTTTGCACTGCACGCGCTCCTTTGAGTCATCATTTTTTCGGACACGCTTTCGCGAAGTGACCCGTTTTATTATATTTAAAGCAACGTCTATCACTATTGTTACTTTCTTTGACCAATCTTTTGCAGAATCTCGCCAGGTGACCCGTCGTGCCGCACTTGAAGCATTTTCGTTCAGAAGTCTTAAATGCTACGGCATTTTCACTTTTCTGCTTTTTCACATTCCTCGCTTCTTCCGAAAGCAACCTCGTCGTTAAGTTTTCCATTGTCTGCTCAGATTGCGGTGTTAATTCCCACGCGGTAGCGAACGACCTGTACGTATCCGGCAAGGTGACAAAAATTTTAGACACCAGCATGGAGTCCGTTACTTCTGCACCTAACGTTTTCAGTCTGCACGCGATATTTTCTATATTGCTCACATACGAAGCCACATCTGAACTTTTGTCCATAGTACAACTGAAGAATTTCTGCATGAGTCCATATCTTTGATGCACACTGTCGCGTTTGTAAATCGAGCGCAGTTTGTTCCACATCTCATATGCCGTTTTACAGTTTAGTACGTGCATCAAAGACTGCTTACCGAGAGACATCGCTATTACTTTCTGCGCGTTCGCATCCTTTTTCTTCCAGGCTTCTTCTTCAGTCGCCGGAGGAGTTCGAGCGACCGTGCTGTAGGAATCACTCGCTTTAAGTAGGATTGTTACTCCGAATTTCCACAGTTGGAAATTCTTCACACCGTTTAGTTTTTCAATTTGGTTTATTTCATCCATCAAAATCTGCCATTTTTGGATTTTACGTTTTTATTGAGAGCCGGGCTTTAAACGAGCGATGCGCTCCCGCCTCTAGAGAGGGCAGCTCCTGTGTGGCGCGCGCGTTCTAAGCGCCACTCGTGCGTTGCGGTCGTCGTCTGCGGTGCGGTCGTCTTGGTCGTGTCCTTAAGAGCCTTGACCATCGTGGAGTCAAGACGTATTGTGTGTTTTTGTGAATCAAATAAAGAGTTCCTATAGTATAAAGAACTTGTACAATAAGTGTCCTGTCCATCTCTACGCATCTCGCATATCGTTCCAAGCGATATAATTACAATAGGTTATGGGCCCAGGGCACGCTTGTCCTGCGGAAGATCTGTAAGACGCGTGAATAAGTGGACGAAAAGTTCGTGAGACGCCGGCGAAAGACATCAAAAAGAGAGCATTAGAAGATTAGAGGGTAAGTAAATAATATTCCTCGTTGCTGACGAGCAAAACCAGAGAATTCTCAGCTAATAAGAACGTTCGTTAAATGCCGTTAGAAGTTAGAAGGAGACAAATTTTTTTTGTTTTTTGAGAGATAGAGATAAAGTATAACATAGTAATAAGAACGTTCGAGAAACGCTGTTAGAAGTTAGAAGGAGACAAACTCTTTTTGCCTCTTGATAGAAGTAGAGAAAGATGAAAATTAAAAAAGAATATGTACAATAGAAAGAGATAGAAAGATGCCGCTTGGTAGCAAGTCGGCGACGTGCGCGTGCAAGTCCGAGCGTGAACGGCGAGAGTCAATGTTTTTGGCGCGCGGAAGTCCGATCGTAGACGGCGAGAGTCATTGTTTTTGGCGCGCGGAAGTCCGATCGTGAACGGCGAGAGTCATTGTTTTTGGCGCGCAGAACTTGTTGCTGGGCGCGCACAAACACATAATCGATTTCGACTAACAACATGGCATCGATGCTAGATGGCTAGATTACGATACATGTAAATGTATGCGTATGCTAGATGGCTAGATTGCGATACATGTATATGTATGTGTATGCGTATGTATAAAAACTCTATATGACTCTATATGAGTTTATTTTTTTTGAAATCGATATGTATCGGGTCGATAATTGAACATGACTGGCTGTGCGGTGTAGCTTGATTACTGTACAGGGAGGCCGCGTAAATTTGTATAATGGGCCCCGTGCGCGTGCGTGATCAACCCGAGCTCCCATAGATCTTTTCAGCAGTGCTGGGGATCGCAACGGAGAGTGGTGTGCGCGTACGGATAGCCCTGCAGAGGCGCGTGGTTTCTCGCTTTGGGGCTGTTGTGAATTGCAGTGCGTTCTACATAGCCTCATAAGCATTGTGTTTTTATTTTATCGCTGAAAGAAAGGTGATAGAAATTAAATTATTAAATGTCGATAAGAATGTTGGCTTATCTTGTCAAAAAAAAGGAATGCTAATTGATATTTAAATCGCGATATAGATGGAAGAAGAGACAGAAAATCTTTCGGTGGAGAAAGAAGGCCAAGATGCGCTGGTCGACTACGACAGCGATAGCAGCATTATCACGGTAATAGAAAGAGAAAGAGATAGCGAGGAGACAGTAAGAAAAGATAGAGAAGCAAAAGATAAAAAGGAGGAGACGGAAAGAAGAGGTGCAATCCCGAAAAAGAGCTTGCCTAAAGTCAGAGAGAATATAGATGTGACCAAAGCATGGGAAGAGAACCGTCTAGTACTGCCAATTGGAACAAAAATATTATATGAAAAGCAAGAAAAATTGGTCGCAAAAATGGACAATTCGATGCAGATGCTGGACAAAGTAATGACAAAGGCCACCGAGATGATGGAGAATATAGTGGAAGTCTCCCGTTTAAACTTAGAGAAAGAAAAAGTTAAACTTAGACGTTTAAAGGTAAATAATGAAAATACGCAAAGTTCAGTACAGAATGATATAACAATAGTTAAAGAATTAGAAGTAGAGTCTAGAAAGAGAAAATTAGATGAAGCAAGAGTTTGTTCCGCCGGAAAAGGTAGAAGTTTAGAGACAATTAAAAGCACTATAGAGGCAGAATTAAACAATCAAAGGTTGCATATTAGAAGAGAATACAAGCTGACGCAAAAATACAATTTTGATCTTTGGATGGATAATTTTGAAATCTGAATTAACGAACAATGATTTATTAGATGTAATAGATTCAAGTATTGAAAGTCCTGAAAATCTTTCCGAGTCAAAAATTGTTAAAAGAAAAGGTCTAGTCAGAGATATAATAATTAATCATTTAGGTGAAAACTATCATAAAAGGATTCTACATGAAAAAGATCCGAAAGAAATTTTAAAGAAACTAAGAGGATATAAAAAGAGTGAAATAAATGTTACTCATGCATCGGTACGAGCTACACTTTATCAAATTAAAATGAAAAAAGATGAAAAAGTAAGTGATTTTTGCGAACGCTTTGATTCGATAATTAGAGAATATGAATCATGTGAAGATGCGGTACCTCTCACGGAACAAGAAATTAGATCTGCATTTTATCAGGCTGTGTCAATTAATGTACCAGAGCTGAGAAATGTAGATTTGATTAGAAGACAATCAAATCTTAAAGAAATGACAATAGATGAAATAAAGTCTTTTATGATGCA